TCTGTTGATTTTTTCCCTTTTAGTTTGATCTAAGTTGAAGATTATTGAGAGCTAAAGCTAGAAGTTAATCTGATCTGTTTATCTGCATAGTGTGTGGAGCAGGGATACAGAGGGCTCCAGAAAAAAGGCAGAAGCCTGGCAGTCAGCAGGCTCTGGTTTTTATGATTTAGATACCAGGTTTTCTTGGGGAAAAGAGGGACAAACGAAAAATAGAGCACTTCTGCCAGATTCCTCCCCAAAATATTTAGTACTCAGGAACGCTTGAAATTGTCCAGCACAGAGCCACAAAGATGCTGGAGGGAGTGGAGCATCTTCTGCTGAGGAGCGGCTGAGGGAGCTGGGGCTCTTGAGCTTGGAGCAGAGGAGACTGAGGGGTGCCCTCATTCCTGGGGATCCATTGGGAAAGGGCAGTGTCAGGAGGAAGGAGCCAGGCTCTGCTCTGGGATGTCCAATGCCAGGACAAGGGGCAATGGTCCCAAGCTGGAGCACAGGAGGTTCAAGCTGAAGATGAGGAAAAGCTTTGTGAGTGTGAGGGTTATGGAGCATGGCCCAGGCTGCCCAGAGAGGTTGTGGAGTCTCCTTGTGTGGAGACACCCAAAGCCCTGGCCGTGTTCCTGTGTGACTGCTCTGGTGATCCTGCTGTGGCAGGGGTTGGACTGGGGGAGCTTTCCAGGTCCCTTCCAACTCCTGACATTCTGGGATTCTGTGAACGTCTGTGGTATTTGAAATACTTTGAACATTCAGATTAAACAAGATTCAGGGTTCCTGAATATTTGATAATGTTACCATTAAAATCTCTGAGGTCATAGAAGTCTGGATGCTTATCAGGGTGTTGGAAAACTGAGGTCTGTGTGATACTTAGAAGATGCAGAAGGATTTCTCTTAATAATTCATATGAGTACTAAATGGAATAAAAGATTTGTTTTATCCCAGTCTTCACAGAGCCAGATTTGGCATGAGGAAGTAGGAAAAAAACAGGTGAAGGAATGGATTTCTGAGGTATAGTTCTTCAGAAGAAGATAAGTCGTCAAGCAAATCGTAAGTCATATTGATATACGGGAATTTATGATGCAGATGAAGGGAAAAGGAGGAAGGTTATTTTAAATGAGCAATTTCTATTGGTACTCATATTATTTAGGCAGTTAGAATCTATGGGAGGAAAATTATTTAGTAAATCACAAGTAGCAAAACTAATCAACACAATTTTACTATAACAAATTATATCTTGCAGACCTTTGAGACCCACATTGATTCTGAACGCAAATGGACTATGGGATCAAGCATATTTTATAAAATACATTTGAATGCCTCTTTTTATCCTGTGTATTCATTTCTGAAGTACAGCCTCGAATCAGAGCTGGACTCAAAGAGAAAAAGGGGGATGTCTGGATTATTTGCATGAAGGGATTGTTTGATCATGTGTATGATTCAGCTCTAGAAAGGCGATGCGTTGAGGTCACAAAAGGATCGTTACTGGAAATTTCTCTGTATGAAAATGGACAAGAATCCCCCTTAATCACATCATGGGTCAGCTGTCAGGGGTCTGATGAGCTTACTTCATGTTGAACTTGTGTTACTTCGCGTTGCAAACCATGATATTTCCTTTTTGAACTTTCATATCAAATGCTAAGTTTATTTTTTTAAAGCACAGCTCAGTATTGATTTAAGAACTGTATGTTTTTATTGGTATTTAGTGACTGTCCCAAGCACCTGACAATGGAAACCTTGTTCTTTAGCGCAGTGTTGTAACAGGGTGTATCAGTGAACACATTCTCATGCACAACTTTTTAAAAATCATTCTTACTAATGTCTGAAATAAATTTTTAAAACAAAACAGAAAGGAATAGATCAGGTACTAATGTTGCAATTTAAACCTATTTGAATTTCCTAATGTCTTTCAATTTTTCATAGCTTTTAAAGGGATGATTTTTATGCGTATTTTAACCTTGCTGAATATATCTGCCTAATAATAATAATAATAATAAAATTAAATTAAACCTGATTTTAAAAAAAAAGTCTTTAACATTGTGGTGGGGAATAGTTGTCATTTCTGGCTTCTTGAAGGTCTAGGACTGTATTATAAGAAACCCATCTGTACCTGTCATTTCTTTCCTTCTCCCACTTCTTTTCTACCTTAGTCTTGCTGGCCTGTTCATGCGAGATGCCGTACTTAGGAGAAATTTCAGTCCACTACATTGTGCACATAGAGGAAGAGGTGCTCCATGCCAACCACTGGCTGACGCTTGTGTTCCTATGAACTGGGGATCATTCTTTGCTCTGAAAAATACCTCCTTGCCTCCAGTAGAAGGTTGCTTATGTACATACCGAATGGAGGCTTTTTGTTCCAATTCAAGTGTGTTTTGGAATTTCTTTGGCTCTGTAGAAAATGTTCTTGCCCATCAACATTAAGATTTCAATCTGCTCTCATCCAACCAGAAGTCGTTACTCAGAACATACTCTGTATAACGGGGAATAACTTCCATTTCTGCTGAAACCATATCTTTCTGGATCATGTGCAATACAGGTGTAGTAGCAGAGTCTCTGTAAGTGAGAGTTGACAGAGAAATTTAGCTGCTCACAGAGAAGTTTAGGTCTTTGAGTCCCATTGAGCAACCTCCTGAGTAACTTTCAAGACCTAATACTCTTTTCTCGTACAGAGAAAAACAGGCACAACGCAACAGACCAGAAATATCCTAAGGGAGATGCAAGTGGGAGGGTTTTTTGGTTGTTTTTGCTGTTTATATTACCTCAGCTGCTCTTTATGAATTTTTTCCATAGATCATGCACTGAACATGATTCAAGTTTTGTTTATGAATCGGTATTCGTTAGAAGTACAGCACTGACTATTGGTACTTTTTGTTGGTGCTGATATGAATTATAAGAACTGGGAATGTGTTTAAAGGTAGCTTAATGTCTGTGAGTGACTCCAAGCCACCACGGTACATTGTTTACTGTTATTTGGTGAATAACTGAAAAAGTACGTTTCCAATATTTTACCTTTTCCTTCTAGTTTATCTGAGTAACCAATTGTGCATGGCAGGCAGCTGAGGTGGGACAGAGATACTGGTGCATCAGTGGGTGTCAGCTAGTGCTTCATCAAATTTTTCTACAGTTAGGAATAACAGTTACCCAGGATGGACATGTTACATGGAAGGAAAAAAGCAGATGACTTTCGAGGCAGGTGATAAGGAATCAGGCCAGTAAAGCTGTTCTTAAATGTTTCTGCTTGGTTTTGCCTGTTGCCTCAAATAAGCAGCAGGGCTCCTGCTGCTCATCATAGTTGGAGACATAAACGCAAATCCAAAATTGCTGTTTTCCTTACAGCTGGACTTAAAGAAATACAGATGATGATTTTTCTAAGTACCCCTTAAGATTAGGTCCATGGTTTATGACGTGTGAATCCTTGCGGGATTACAGCTGGTGTGTTGCTGTAGTGCCTCTCACCTGCTCCAGAGAGCCAGCAGTAACGAGATGATGCTGGAGAGGAGAGCAGGGGCCAGCAGGTCCCTCATAGGGGCTGGCCGCTGTTCCCAGCACCACTTACTTACACAGCGAGGACCACCGAGCACGTGAGATTTACCAGTCCTATTGCTTGCAGTATGGAAGTGTCTGCTGTTGACTCAGTGGAGCATCTTGCAAGCTATTACTTCTATATATTTTTTTCCTTGATGAGTCTTTTCATTGAAAAAACTATTCCAGCATCTGTTTCACAAAGTCTAATAAATGTGAAGCCGTGTTAGGTTATTTACATGTGGGATTTTAAAAGCAGTACTGTAAATCATGCAGAGCAGTTGCTGACTTTTGGACTGCCATTCATTCAAATCATGTATTGGAGCACTACTGAGCCACTGAACTTCTGTTTCTGGTAGCATTACTTCAGTAAGCTGGGGGCTTACTATAGTTTTCTACAATATTGTAATGAAATTCGTAAAAGGTGCACTCTTTTTATGCCTATCTGACAGAAGAGTGTAAAAACAATACATGAAGCAAAGACTCGAATGAGTCAGAAAGCAACGGTAGCTGAAGAAAATGTAACAGCAGAAAAATGGCACTTGTTTACTCAGTCCTGACACCATCACACTGAGCTTCTCCATTCTACAAGAGGCTGGTCCAAACCATCTAACCTGTACAATCTTTTCAGTATTCAGAATTTGGACAAAGATTTTCTGTTAATGCTATTCCTTTCTCTACTGTGCAAGCGATAAGAGCTTTCCTCCAAGAAACACTTTATTGCACAATTCTGTTATCCATCAACACGGCACAATAGAACGGCACTTGCCAGAGTCTACATCTTGGGTAATTATTTCTACTTTCATGGAAATTGGTTTCTAAGCTTCTTCTGGCAACAGGTTCCAAGTCCTTGGTAACTGGACACGAGCCTTCAAGTCTCCTTAATAAACAGCTCTTCCTCTTCTCAAATTTTACTGTCCTTTTTTTTTTCTGTCTACCTTCCCACTCTCATTTTTTTAACTCATTCTATTACATCCTTTCAGCATTGATTTATTGTCATTTCTCCCCTTCTTTTTTTTTCTGTTTACTGGGTTACTATTCCTAACACGTGTCTCTTACTACTGCAAGCAGTTTGATCAAAATACTACTGACCCTGTGGCTTTTGTGACTGACATATAGTGCCATGTCCTTGTGCAGTCCTGAGTCTGATCACAGTGTTTTAACTGAGGTCACTCAAGGTCTCATGTCCCAGGCAAATTAATACACATTGCCAACCAATCTGGATGAACTCAGGAGCATCTGAGATATCTTCTTCATAGCATTTAACTTCTTTGGCCTTCCAGAACTTCAGGCAATTGGATGCATAACTATTCTCCACCTTACTAAAGATAAATCTCTCTCTTTTCAAATATCTTTGTATACACACACGCACTCTTATTTATTTATATCTAAACAAGGTCATAAAAAAACAACCAAAAAAAAATCTAGGATGTTTTAACTATTTCATTGACTTTTCAGATTGTTTTTAAGCTGTTTTTTAAACTTTAAAGGCAACACTGATAGTGAACGGTTCCAAATGGTAAAACAGAAAATCCCCTTCAAATATAACCGGCCTGTAGAGGAGTGGCTGCAGGAAAAAGGTAACAGTCATTAAAACTTTCATTTTAAACGCATTTGATTCTAAACCCTCATTTTTAAAGCCTGCAAATAAATGTTTCTTAAATGATAATCGCCTGCTGCATAAATGACTGTTTTAATTTTCATTATAATTTGTGTCAGCTTCCACCTGCCATATGTTGATAAATCATGCTATAATACATTGCTATTAAAATGCAGTTAAAGGGACGAAATTCTAAGCTTGCTATCGTAGTAATGACAAACAAACAAGCGAAAATTCAGGAGACGTTTTCTAAAAAAACAAAAACCAAAACAAAGAAGAAGAGCGAAGAGCAACAACATGTATTATGGCAATTTAACCACTGCATGATTTTCCTATTTTGATTTGTTTTTAAACTACATTTATATTTTTATTATCAAAGTGTTCTTAGAGAGTTTTCAAACCTACTTGTTAAACCACTTCCTGTAAGTTTCTTTTTTCTCATTAGTCTCATTTAGCCACTATGGCCTTGTGTTTCCTAAATGTATGAAGATAATTAAATGGTTTCAAAAAATGTTGTAAAGAAAACATTTTTTAACATTGTCCTTTAAACTACAGTGAGGGAGACAGAGAGAGATGATTGTTCTGTCGCTTTTATGCTGTGTCTGGAGTACAGTTTGAACACTCAAGTGATTTGTCTGCATTATGAGTCCAATTCTGTCCTAACTTAATCTCAGGCAATGCTACTTAATTGTCTTGGTTTGCCTGAAGTAATTGGCCACAGTTCAGCAAAAGACTCGATAACACACATGAGTCCAATGGCTTGTGTGAGAGTTCTGCCTACACTCGTTGACCTGTTGAAATGGGACTTATGTCAGAACAGAAATGGTCTTTTATGAGGAATCTGGAGGGGAAGAAGAAATCTTGGCTGTAGAGCCCATTCCCAAGCCTGTTGAAGGGAACAGGATAACTCCTACTGATTTCAGCTGAATGTGGACTGGGCTCTTGGTAGTACAGTGGAGCGTAAGTCAGGAAGATCTTCTCCCTCTTTACTAAATGTGGGCGTTAAAAACATTAAAAAAAAAATCACTGTAACTCCTTGGCTTGACGTCTAGAAAAAGCAGAACACAATCTTCTCTTGTTTCCTTTTAAGAAAGTACTGCTGATAAACGAGGGCGACCTTTGAACTCAGATCTTGCATTTTCCGTGCTGATTTGGACTACGGTTGTTACCAAATTTTCCAAGTGGGAAAACCAATGTTCTGTTTCGAACTCCTATCCTCAGCTGAATTAACAATTGATTAAGCCGGTATGAATTCAGTTAAGGTCACAAAGGATGTGGCTGACTACAGCCACAATATTTTGAAGTGAAAGCTCTGATCCTGCAGAGTGCTGTGCACACTCAGTTCCCGTTGACTTCAATGGGAGCTGACGGTGTTGCCCACTTTTCAGGTTTGGTCTACGACGGTGTAATGTTTGTAACCAAAGATGAAGTATTTGTGAAAGTAAGAAAACAATATTTGTGTAACGAAAACAGAAATATTTTTGACCACTAGGGTTTTTTGGCACAGTTAATTCAGCTAACTTGTCAATAAATTTTAAGATAAAGGTATAGAGAAAATGCTTATTGAGTCTCAGTGGGTTGCCCTGTTAATTTACAAGATCAAACTAAAATAAATAAATAAAGTTTAACACTAAAAAGAGGATAATTTTGGTAATTTTGAATTGCTAAAGTCCCTTTAACACTAAAGACAATGATTGCCTCAATTTTGTTAAAACAGATGCATGTCTAATTCCTTGGTGCAATTCATGTGCTTGAGAAACCCACCTTTGTTTTATTTTGTGGTTTTGGTTTGGGCTTGGTTTTGGTTTTGTTTGGTTTTTTTTTTCCTTTTTGGTTTTCCACCAAATCTTTTCTTTTATGTCACTGCTTCTCCAAGTTTGAGCTTGTAAGCATGCCAAGGCACTTTCATTTTAAGCCATCCTGAAGTTTTGAACTGAAGTCTACCTTGTGTGGATATTGATGCTTTGTTAAAAGACAGTCACACGTGCATTAGGGTCTAGAAGGGACAATATTTGAGCATTCAGACGCTCTCAAAGCACTGAGTGTTTTTAGGTTAGAAGAATAGAGCCGTGCTGTTACTGAAGTGAAAGGAACTTCAGTCTTCACACTGTGTCGGGGAATGACATTGTGCAGTGCAACACCTGAGACAACACAGCTTTGTTCATTCCAAAGTAGACAGAGGTTTTCAGCATCTTAGGTACCACTCAAATTAAAAACAAATATGAAAGAATGATTTCCGTAGCTGTTCATCAACCTGCTCATCCATCTGGTCATCCATCCAACAATTAACGTACCATGGAAGCCTTCTGTCAGAAGACTTTATATAAAGATGATGAGAGAAAGGGTTTGCTATCAGAATGGAACAAGATGACCTGATGGATGGAGGCACAGGTAGATTCATTCATCAAAGAGACAGCATATAGAATAGCTGTCTTGCCCATATGAGTTCTTGGCTTGAGTGAGGTAAGATGAAACTCTTTTTGATGGACATTTTTGAATGCCATAGGTTTGGTCTTCGTTTGGTACCACTGTTACGTTACTCATAATAATGAAATAGTTCATTCTTGGAAAACAAATCTAACATAACATCTTTCTGAAGTGGCATCATTACTGGGTTTTGGTTTTGTTTGTTTTTTAAAAAAAAAAATTATAAATGGATTTGAAATATTTTTAAGAGAGGCCCAGGATTACAGTCTTGAATTATATGAGCAATAAGCAAAACATTAAACACTATTAACGTCACTGAGATTATATTTGTGAGTATATAAAAAATTATTAGTCCTAAATTGTTCAACTTAAGAAGTCATAAAACCAAAATATGTGGTGTCTGCTGTTACCTATTCTGCAGTTGGGTGAGCTAATAAACACCCAAAAGCATCTCACCAAAGGACTGATCCTGAAAGTCCTTAATTCTTCAAATCTCTCTTACTTATATGTGAAAACTCATTGATAGGAGTGACTGTACTTTCAAAGCAAGAACTATTAGTGTGAATTAGGATTTCCAAAATCAGGCCCCTAATCTCTCCTAGTAGTGCAGAAAAGTTACATATCACTAAGATTTCTCTGTGATATTTGTCACTGGTATTCAGTTTTCCAAATGAAGAAGTCAATGAGAGAGCAAACAAAGAAACAAGAGCTTGAAATATTCAGAATATTTACAAAACACCTCAGAAACTCAAAATATGCTCATCTTTTTTCTCCACTATGACACTGAAATAGCAGTAGAAAGAGTTCTCTTTGGAAAAGAAGGACTGTGGGTCTGCAGTCCTTACGTGCCTCGTAGAATTTACTAAATTAAACAGTTCCTCGGTAAAATTCACTGGCCAAATACATTTTACCTGGGGCAAGTAAGGGTGTCAGAACCATAAAGGAATTAATAGAAGTGACCCATGGTGGCAGAATTACATGTATATTCTCTCAGCAGTTTTCTCTCATTCCATATGCATTTCCCTGTTGTCTTTATTCATGCACGTGTACAGCATTGCAGAGTGAGGAATGAGGAAAAGCAGGTTGTCGGTGACTCCAACAAGTGATTGCTCTTTTGGCAAACACAGTTCTAGTACCAGTGCTGTCTCCAGCATTTACCACATGGTGCAGTGCATGAATCCTGGACTAGAAGATCACTTAACAAACAAGGAAGACCCCAAAACACACAATCAAAGTTCATTTTCTTTACTAGAGTGGGGCCACCTCCTTGGTGTACGCTTTCTTTCCATGTTAGAAGGTGCAGAGGAAGGGCTAGGAATGGAGAAATGATCTCTTTTTCAACCTTAATATACTAACTCCTCATCCCTGAAAGTAAAGCAGGGGATATGACAGGTGTGTCTAAAGCTGTGCTATGAGCTTGAGTTAGGATGCATTATATCCTAAGGAGAGTTGTAATCCTCCAGTAAAAGTGAGGGAACCCTGTTTCTGTTCTGGCTTGGGAAGCTCTCCTAGCTGGAACAGCAAAATGTCTCCTTCCTCATCATTGCCCACCTCTTTTCCCTTTGGTAAAAGATGAGAAAAAGATATAGTATTGATTCAAGAGAAATGGAAAGGGAAAGGAATGGAAATGGAAAGTTTCGAATGGTCAATACCTTTCCTCCCTTTTCAGGGATAACATCTCAAGATCAGTAAAATAACTCCCAGTTCTTTACTCATCTCACCTCTACCGTTTGGCACTCTACCACGAGTGAGTTGGGAAGGAGGGAACAGCAGCAAGTGAAATGTTTGAGTATGTAGGGGCAGGAACAGCACAGAAATAAATACAGTGCTAAAGGGAGGGAACATGTGAGGAGAAGGAAAAATAGTGTCAAGAACTGACAGCATATCCACTAAAAATATCCAAGACACAACAGCGCAGAGAAGAAAAGCAGACTCTGAAGGCATGGTATATGACAAAAGTTTGGCCTTCTGCAGTGTACAGTGCCGTTTCCTCTAGCTCAGACAGGAGCTGGGCTGAGAGGGCTGAATATTTTGACAGATGTTATTGGATCCTGTTTTCCTCACAGACAAGAGGAAAGGCTCTGTTTTTACATGCTGAGGATGTGTGGCTTCAGTGCATGTTTGTTGATGTTTTAATAGACATACGTTGCCTCTGGTAAGTTTAAAACCTCCCGAGATGCAGAATATTGCATCAGGTGTTTCAATACTTTCCAGGGAGAAGTTACCCTCCATTTTTATTTCTCATTTCTTCATCAATGCAGTTACTCCACCCTGATCAAGTCCTAGTGTTTCATTGACAAATTTGTGGGTGAGAAGCACAGGGGATGTGCAGCCCACCTCCACTTGTCCTTATGTTGCATCTCACCATCCACTTTTACGTAGTTAGCTAGGGCCCTCTTTGGGGACAGGAACTCCTTTCAGATACATTTCTTCTCTTGTCCCCATTCTCTTCCCCATGGTCTATCCTGTCACCATAAGATGATGCAACACCGCATCACCACTTGACTTCGAGACCCGTCACGACGACCACCAAAATTGGTGAGCTCCCCCTCGCATTTTGATCTACTCTAACCACTGGCTGTGAAGGAGTGAGCAGTGGGTTGTAGGCTGTGCTTTGCTACATGGTGGCATTTTGCACCTCTCATCAGGGTGGACTAGAGAGAGGAAGTGGTGAGTGAGAACTGGGGAGAGGGAATGGGATGGGGACATGTGGTGCAAACCTCATAAAATGGGAAAACACAGTGGATATTTGAATGATGATTGACTTGATGCTGCATTGATAACCCTCCTGAACTCTGCCCAGTCTTGTTGTCTGTTAGTCCAACAGATACCAGGCGGTATGCCCCTAATCTGAGAAACAGTGAAATTATAGGCATTGCCTTTGCACTGCATGGAATGATTTATATCTTAACACAGTCAACATAGTGCAGCCTGGCTCATAAGCAGTATTTATAGAGCAGTCCAGGCTGACTGTGTCCTGCAAAACTAGATGAATTGGACATTGTAACTAGATTTAATTTTAATAAATATTTTTTTCATTACATATGATGTTGGCCCATCCCCAACACTCAAGGTGTGTCCTTGAGTGAACCACTTCACCTGCCTACATTTGAATTTCACTGTCTATAGGAGGGGAGTCACACGTAAGGCATTCTGGGACTTAACCATCTGAAGCACTATGTTATCCTCTCATTTCAAAGACTTTGCTCTTTCAGAGACATCACACACGTTTGCATTTGATGTTTCTTGGTTTTCGATATTTGAGCCTTCACAACTCTAAATTTACCAGTGGAAGATCATGACTGAACCTGTCTCAAAATTCCTACATAATCCTTATACCACTATCAGCTTTTTTTCTGATGTTTTGCTGTCACCAAGCCACCCCTTAAAACCTTTGCGTTGTTAGAAGTGGCTTTATGAGTTAATCCCACCCTTTGACCAGTCAAAATAGAGGGTTTATTTATGTGTTAAAGATTGACAGGTACTGCAGTCCGAATTGATAGTAGGAAAATAGCCACATATTGAAGCCTTATTTGTAGTTTAAAATGGGTCCAACTCTAAAAAGGTGGGTTCAAATTTCTGACTTAGTCAAAGCTCCTCAAGAGTTTTGATGTGTGATTGGATGTTGAAGTATGAGGTTCAGTTTTAGCTGTTCTTGCTTTCACACTAATCTATCTTATTAATGAGCTTTAGACAGTACATGTCCATGCTGTATTTCTGCAGTCATCCTAAACACTACCAAGAATGAATCTACTTCTTTGTTGTCCGTCATTTCTGGCCAGGACTCAATGTAAGATGCAAAGGGAAGGAAATGTCTGGCAATAATGTTATTCACCCCCCTTCACTAGGACGACAGTTAACGATCTTCAACACCCAGGCGCAAATAGCCATAGGAGGGAAGGACAGAGGGCGTCTCTTCCAAGGCCAGCTCTCCGGTCTCTATTACAATGGCTTGAAGGTGCTGAACATGGCAGCGGAGAACAACCCCAACATTAAAATCAATGGAAGTGTCCGACTCGTTGGGGAAGTCCCTTCCATCTTGGGAACGACACCCACAACCTCTGTGCCACCAGAAATGTCCACTACAGTCATGGAAACCACAACTACGATGGCCACCACGACAACCCGGAAAAATCGTTCGCCACCCAGCATCCAGGTGAGTCAATTCGCCTTCTGCATTTCCTCGGGTTCTTAATTTTTTCACTGCTCGCTTGTAAGTTCATGGGAGCTGTGTGCTCTGGATCGCAGCCCATGTAACTCTTTATTTTAATAATGCTGTATAGCGTACATCACCACAACGTGTTGTGCTCCTGTGTTGGTGAACAAACAGCTGGATGATTGATTATGGCAGATTTGTGCCATAATGGGGACAGGTTTTGCTCCTGTTCTAATGCAACCCCATTTATGTAAGTAAGACTGCCCCAGTGTGAACAAGAACATGACTTTAACCATGTTTCCTCAGTTCCATATGTGGGGAAGTGTATTCCTAAGAGAGTTACAAAGCTTAATGGGGGTTGGGTGTATGGTTATTTGTTATTATGACAGTAGGTACTGCTGCAACAGTGAAGTTCATAATGGGGAGAAAAGCAATGGAGCATTACTTCTGGGTAGAGCCATTTTTCATTTTCCTTTTATAGCCTTCCTGTAGAAAATTTTAAGGAAACATTATCAAGATCAGTTTCTTGCAAAATGTCGGTGTTCCAACATAGAGAGGTTCCAGTGACTTTGGTAAAAATAATTCATACCAAAAAAAGAGCTTCAGATGTTCAGACTTAATTGTGCCAATGCAGTGTTTTCATTCCTAAAAATGCAGTGGGTTTGGAACCACTTGTGTGGCAGCCAGAATATGATACTGATCAGAACTAAACACCTTAAATAGGCTCTTCTGGTCTGTGCAAACTCAAGTCATGTGAGTAACCAATCTCAGCAGTGGATAAGATTTTGAAAAGTATTTATTTCAGTGGTGTGCTATCTTGTTATCAACTAGGATGAATCATCTGTTTCAAAATCTTTATTTACATCAGAACCTCACCCTGCAGAAGCCAGCATACTTTCATTGACAGCAGCATACACTGGCTGAGACACTGGCGAGTGATTATTGATCAGAGTGTGCCTTTATTAAACCTCCAGAGAAAAGTATATTGTTGTCTAGTTGAAGAAAAAAATTTAAATTATTCCATCTGCTTCCCTGAAACGATTTCTGCTGTTTGAGACAGAAGACCTTAATTTAATCAAGGCCTTTGAAACCTGTAATCATACAAGTTACATGCTTGCTTTCTAACTGCTTCAGAAGGTTTAATCAGTTATTGATTATGTTCCTGTATATACGACCATTCTCTTTATTTTTAATCTAGTCCTGGTCACTTAGGATAAGAAAACACAGAAATCATCCTCTCAGTTGTGTAGGTCAGGCCACCCTGGAGTCCTGTGTCCAGTTCTGGGCTCCCCAGTGCACAAGAGAGATGGAGTCACTGGAGTGTCTCCAGCAAAGGGCCTCTGGGATGGTTAAGGGTCTGGAGCATCTCTCCTGTGAGAAAAGGCTGAGAGAGCTGAGACTGCTCAGCCTGGAGAAGAGGAGACTCAGGGGGGATCTTATCCATGTGTACAAATACCTGAAGGGAGGGTGTAAAGATGACAGTGGTGCCCAGCAACAGGACCAGAGCACTGGACACAAACTGAAACACAGGAGGTTCCCTCTAAACATCAGGAAGCACTCTTTTACTGTGAAGGTGACTAAGCACTCACAGGTGGCTCAGAGAGGTTGTGGAGTGTCCTTCCTTGTAAGTATTCAAAAGCCATCTGGACATAATCCTGGGCAACTGGCCCTGTGTGTCCCTGCTTCAGACAGGGATGTTGGACCAGATCACCTCCAGAGGTCCTTTCCAACCACAACCCTTCTGTGTGGTACCTCTGCTGCAGGGGAATTTACATCTATTGGAGTAATTAACCCCTAGCCAAGGTTTAACATTGCCCCCTTTGGTACCCTGTAAATCCAGGTGGCAGCAGAACTGGGATTAATTGAGTTATTAGCCTCAAACACCCAATAGGTGATTTGTACAGTCTCAGCTAAACGAGGAGAGATTACCTCAGGTTCTAATTTTACCATGATTTGTAAAGTCTCAGCTAAATGAGGAGAGATTACCTCAGGTTCTAATTTTACCTCAGCTCTTTTTTCAAGACAATCTTTGCACGTTTTACATCTCCAAAATAAAGCCTGTGGTCCTGATCCTGCTCTTGTTAGATTTTCTATAATTTATAAGGCAGCAGATACGTGTTTATCTATAGGAGTGTATCGGAGAGTAGCACTGGACCTTTGTGGGCTGGGTCAAGCTGGAAATAGCCATGGCTTACTTGAAGAGAAACTCTTCCAGAAAGCTTCCTGCCCAACCTACGTGGCAGTTCACGCAGCCTGTAGAGACCACTATGTGCTGAAAGAGCATCAAGAAGATTTAATAAAGTGTCAAAGTGCTTCTAAAAACATGGTTAGGGCAGTGATTTCCTGGATACGCATGCACCACAACAAATGGCCTCATCTCAGCTGATATTAAAGCAATAACTCTTTGACACTTCGTGCTACCCACTGAAAGAAAGATAAAGGTCAATATGTACCTCCATTACAACTTTCTGCATTTCAATATCAGGCCGTTTTATTGCTGTCGCAGCACAGATGGCTTGTCTTTCTTCCTTACTCTTGGTAGAATTTGATTCTGTCAGCTTAAGTTGCGTTATTTGTGTGGTGAAAGTTAGAAGAAATTGTCTTTTTCTGTTTGGGCAGTATCTCCAGCTGTGGTTTTCAGCTGCTTAATGGCTATTTTATCTTGCTTGTGTTTGACATCACCATTGTCAAGCCTGCTTACAGTTTGAAATCTAAGTGGTGGAAAGATCTAATAGAACAAGTTTGTTCTTTGGGGAGCGTAAAATATAGCTACCTAAGGCTATGAGCAGTACAAATACAGTTAGTTATTGTCGTGCTCCAGCTTTCTCTTCTCTTTCTCTGCTCAGAAATAAACCATTTTTTTTCACTTTCAAGGCCTTTCACACTTTAGCCTCTTCTTTCCCCAGTTTGATCAGCGCTCTTCAAGCATTTTTTGCTCCCTTCTTGGATTTGATCATCATAATCTTTCTGCTTCCTGATACCATCTACAAGGCTTATAACAAGGTTATTCTCCCAGTCCCATCACTTCTTTCATCATGATGCATGCCAAAAAAATGGTCAGAGGTTAAGCTGATGATGGTTTAAGGCAGCTGTTTATGCACCAAATGAATATTGTCACATTTTTGTTTTCATATTGTCCATTTCTCTGTGTGATATCTTGATTTATGCTTAGGTTGCAGACTCAAAATGGGTTCAAAATGTACTTTTTATTCTGCATTTGTACTCTGCTTAACACAGAAGCCTTCTGGCCTGTTGTAGAAATACCAAGCATTACAAGTGAAAGTAAAGCAGCTAATGCAAAATAGCAGGAATCAGGATAAAGAGTTATTAATCTTACTGTATTAGAAGTATATGTCCTATTGGTATTACTCATTTTCATGTGTAAGTAACTAAAACTTCTGCTTTTTGAAGTGTATATAAAGCTTGTGCATAATATGGAGTCTGTAATCCCAAAGCGATACAAAATCCAGGGGAATTTCAGTAGGATTTAGATTTACACATCGCTTGTTGGGAAGTACAGAAGAGCATGGTAATTGCAAAGATTTCTTCTGTTTGTAATGTACGCCAAGATAACCCCTGCAGTCAAGTAGTCTGAGTACTGCCAGAAGTGTTTTAGAGCACAGTTAGCCTAAAACAGCTGGGAAAATGAAGTACTTAAAAAAAAATTATAGTAGATGCATAGACCAATGACAGGCTTCTCAATTTGTGAAGATCCCAAACGTGGGACATAGTCTTAGACAAACATCCAAGACAAAGAGAATTAAGAGAAGGATATTACTGGAAATACCCAGCGGCAATGATGTTGGCATTTAAAATGTCTATAACTTCATTTTGCTTTAAAATTTATAACAACATTCCTGCAAGGCAATGAACCTCAGATCAGGGGAGGACAGGCAGGGTTTGAGTAAGAAACAGCTGAGCTGTATGGCTGTATGCTGCACTGATAGGAGTGTTTCTGTGATTCAGATATCCTTCAGAGAGGCCTTGAAGGAAGATAACCAAGGCCGACCTTTTCCTGTTAACTGCAAACGGGAGAGAGAAAGGAGTGTCTGTTTGTGTTTGTTTCTGCTGCTGCCCCTCAGTGGAAATGCTGAGTTGACTTCCTCACACGTGGTTTTGTTCTGGCTTCAAGCGTGGCCTGTTCAGAAGTGACATGTGTTGTACTAAATTACTGCTGCCAGTCTGGGGGCTCTCAGCCAGTCTGGGGGCCCTGACACACCAGACTCTCCTATAATAATGATATCCTCTCTGGGACTTCTGCTTTGCCACGTTACCCTATGAAGGCTGCAAAGACAAGCCATTAGCTCCTGTGTGCGGTCAAGTAGCACGCCGTGCAGGCTGCTATTAGATGAGAGTCACTGTACTGTGCCATGTCGTGTTCTTGCAAGACTGTGATGTTTCTTACTTGCTTCATTAGCAATTGTTAAAGGTCCTGGAATCCCACACGTCCGTATTTCCAGATTTAAAACACAGCTTCAATTATTAATGAAGTAGTTCAGGGATTTCTGGGTTTGGGAGACTTCTGTGAAAACGATTTAAAGTGACGCTTATTCTCTTGGCATCTGCTTCCATGTCAGCTGCTTATATGCTTAGAATTTATTTAGGGAGTCACTGCTCAGAGCTTTTTAGGAGACTCTCTGTATGCTCTCAGGTGGCACGTTCTGTCCAGTTCACAGCTGGGTCATTCAGTTTTCAAATTATTTGTGTAAAGATATCTTTTAAGTTAATTCCTGAGAAAAGCTGCTCTAGAAAAGCATGCATGGCGATGCGTGAATCTTCTGTTCAGAACACCTTCAGTTCAGTGAATCCAAGGCACGATTGCAGCTGGTGCGTGGGTCCTTAAGGAGAGCTGCTCCAGACAACCTTCTGGGGCTCGCTGATCCAGGGCAGGCCACTAATATGTTTGCCTTATGTCTGGGGTCCCAAGATATAAAATCACAGGCAGTTTTCTGTGGAAATGAGATCATAAACCCCTTTGGGAGGACAGATGGACTTCTGGT